GTTCTCTTTGGCAGAGAAGAATGTCCAAGTTTAACTGAAGCCATTTCAGAGATGGACGAGATCTTGTATGAAACCCTTGATAAACTTTTCTCTAGGTCACAGATTTCTCCATCAGAAATCGACATACTTGTAGTAAATGTCTCTCTCCTCTCCACAGTCCCATCTCTAACAGCTAGAATAGTGAATCGTTACAAGATGAAGACAGACATTAAGGCCTTCAATCTCTCTGGAATGGGTTGTAGTGCAAGCATTGTCGCCGTTGATCTTGTGAACCAGTTGTTCAAAACCCATAAAAATGCATTAGCCATTGTTGTGAGCACAGAGTCCTTAGGTCCAAACTGGTACTGTGGAAAAGAAAGATCAATGATGCTCTCCAACTGTCTCTTCCGATCAGGTGGGTGTTCGATGGTATTAACGAACAAAAAATCTCTCAAAGATCAAGCAATTTTGAAGTTGAATTGTCTGGTTCGTACCAATCTCGGATCAAGCGATGAAGCCTATTCATGTTGCATGCAGATCGAAGATGAACTTGGATACTGTGGTTTTCGTCTCACCAAAAGCCTCCCAAACTCATCTGCTCAAGCTCTCATAAAAAACCTGAGAGTTTTAGTACCCAAAGTGCTGCCATTGATTGAGCTCCTTCGCTACAGTTTAACCCGCTATGGAAGCAGAAGAAAAAGCTCCTTGAATCTTAAGGCTGGTGTTAATCATTTCTGTATACACCCAGGTGGAAGAGCAGTCATTGATGGGGTAGGGAAGAGTTTAGGGCTCAATGAGTATGATCTTGAACCAGCTAGAATGGCGCTTCATCGCTTTGGCAACACATCTGCAGGTGGGCTCTGGTATGTTTTAGGGTACATGGAGGCTAAGAAGAGGTTGAAGAAGGGTGATAGGATCATGATGATCAGTTTAGGTGCTGGTTTTATGTGTAACAATTGTGTTTGGGAGGTAGTGAGGGACTTGGAAGATGGGAATGTTTGGAAAGATTGCATAGACAGTTACCCTCCAAAAACCCTGGCGAACCCTTTCATGGAGAAGTATGGGTGGATCCATGACGAGAGTTTGAGCTTTGTTAGATTTAATTAGTACAGTAACGTTATGTTGACTAAATTTTGAGATCAAATTTAGAGTGTAAATGACATGACAGTTATTTTGGACTTCTTTATTTGGGTCCTAATAAAGACTACAAATAATATAATATATTATCATGTCATTTGAATTTTAAATTTGATCTCAAAATTTAGTGACCGTAGCATCAACTAATGTTTCCCCTTTTCATTAATAGTTTTTTCATTTTGGCGTTCTCCTACATTGACCGAAAGAAGAAGATATGAATTTCATTCTTGCGGTTAAGGTAAGTAGTTGATCAGGGGCAGTCCAACCCAACTAGGGCCATAGGTAAAAATGTTATGTAAGGCTCTAGTGATATTTATTCAATAATAATATTAGTATTAAATAGTTATTAAAATATTACATTATGTTTACTTAAAAATTACTTGTTGTCTTTTTTTTTTTTTTGAAATACAACATACAAATTTAAATTTAAATTTTGCAAATAAAAATTGTGTTAATCGTAGTCGATTTCAGAGATCAAATGCAAATGATACATACTATTTATTAAAGATAAAGAAAAATATAATTGAAAATTAGTTTAACTAGTAAGACAACTATGATTTATTAGTTTCAAATAGTGTATTACTTCTACTTATTCTATTTTATAGTTATTGTATTTTTTTTTTTGGGTGGGAGAACAGGAAGGGAAACTTGAATCCTTGACCTCAAGAGGACAAAGTCTTCATAAGCCAAAAAATACTATTGAATCAAAGGTCCATTGGTTATAGTTATTCTATTCATTATAAATAAATTGATCAAAAATAGCCTTAAATTTAAGTTATAGAATTATAAAATTATTATTCATACCTATTATACGATAGACAATTGATTTTAATAATAAAATTGCAAAGTCATAATACATATAATATAAACATCGGGTGANCTTCAATAGCCCTCACGATCCCTTTTTATAGAGAAAATAATTTGACAAGCAAATGAGCAAAAAATTAGCCGTTAAAACCTTCAACGGATACATTTGGAATACCAAACTGGTATGCTGGTTTGTTAGAGACACTTTGCCAGTTCATCAGAGGCCATCAAGTGAAGATACTGGAAGGCCTTGAGCTTTTCCGGTTCCCCAACTGTTATGCGGGTCCAGTCAACCGGCATGTCTTTTCAAGCATCTGGAATACCAGTTCTGTGCACCGCCACCTTCTTACAATGAGATTTTGACCCTCAAAACGTTGGAATTTGAAGAAATTTATTTCTAACAAATTGTAGACATGGATGTCTTTTTTTCAACCCAATTTGATTCAGGGCATTTGGACATCGGATTAGAAAGTTATGTCCCAAATTCCGAGACATATCAGAAAATTTTCACTGTCGGCCTTTAATACATTAGCTCCAACATTCATGTCATTTTTCACTTGGAAGACATTCAAATCTCAAAATTACTATTTCACACAGACTTGTAGATCTTGAAGTCTTCTTTCTAGCCATACTTGAATCACATCAATTGAACATCTCCGTCAAAATTTGTTCCCCTTTTATCGAGAATATGTCAAATTAATTGATTTCCACATTCTTCTTTCTTGGCTAATTTCTCACTTTTTTTCATTGATCTTCCAACTCTTCTTCTCAGCCTCTATAATCACATGTATATCTTGAATAATAATCATACAATAATGATCCTTAACCGTTTCAAGTTGTCCTTATTTACACATCAAACTAACAAAATTATTGAAGAAGCTTCTCATGTCATACTTTTCTCATTCAATCAACTACTTTAACTCACCTATATCTATGATACTCGGTCTCTTTATGTAGGTGCATCTTCTTATATTCAATCACTTTATTTATTCATGTTCACTCTTCTTCATTCTTTTCATCTTCAATCATTGCATCATCTCTTTTGATTCTTCATACATAGTGTAACACATTAAACATCTAAGCTTTCTCATCTTGTATCAAACCTACACAATACTTTCAACTAAGCTCACGAGAAGATGATTAATAATACAAGAATGTTTTTTTATCATCTAAACATTGCTTAACTAAGCATAGGGTCAATAATTTATTGACTTGATCTATCACAATTATTGAATTGATAGGAGTTCACCATACAGTACTAAGACATACCATCAATCCAATGACAATAAATGATTATGTCAATAAATTAAATTTAAATAGCATTGTTCTTTCTCACTTGCTCAAGGAGGTTTAATATTGTTCTTGTTAAGACACAAGTCTTTTTTTTTTGGGGGGTGGGTAATGGAAATTCATTACATGGGGCAACTAAAATTAGATAATTTTGTGGTAGCAAAAGTTTACTTTTTTATATTGATATCACGAAATTAATTTCAATCGTAAATCGTGTGTTGAGATATTTGTGATAGACCTAAAGATCATAGATCGGCTTGAATAGAAAACTAACATTAACTTACGGGATCCATAATAATGATTCTTAATAGAGATATGCAACAAAAAATTCCATGAGAAGAATACCAAAAATATCGAATATATTCACAAACTTAATTTTCTATAGGCTGCAAATAGTTTTTTTAGAGAGTGAGATGTCTGTAAGTGTGAATAAGATATAGGTCTATTAGGCAACTTATATCTCCCAAACTGATAACCAACTGTCTTAGTTTAAAAAAATTAATAATTGTTGTCTCCCATCAAAGAAACTGTTAGATTCTCTGACCATTAATTAAACTATTTTCTTGTACTTACGAGACCATTTTCACAGGGAACCTGATCACTAATCAAAAGAACGTATGTTAGGTCTTTTAATTAGGATATCCTTATTCCATAACCGAAGTCTATATCTTGTCAATTACGGTCCACATACGAGTCCTACTAAATCAGGGGTGGCCCCAGGTAAAATTCTTGGATGAGATCTCATTATATTGTCATGATAATATATATTATTTATGTAGTTATTTAGATATTAAAGTTTATTTTTTTACTATTTGAGATAACAAAATACTATTTAAACTTTTATATTTAATATTTTTTACATATCATTTTAATTGATAACAGTTAGTATAATCGGAAGAAAACGATTTATTAGATTTTTGTTTGTCTAATTATTGACAATAAAAAAATTTAATAATAAATTTAAAGTCTCATTTCTGACAGTCAAGTAATTTTTATGTTGTCATTGTCAATGAAAAGAATTTTCTACAAATTTAATTTAAATTTAAATTAATTTAACTTATCAAAAGTCTAAAAGAATAACCAACAAATAAATAAATTGACTTAATTAAACATCTAAAAATTTTACTTAGGCCCTAAAAATAAAATTAGACTTAATATAACATATATTTGAGGGTTTTTTGGGTGTAGAAATATTTTTTAAGACTTATTTATACTACTGTAAAATGTCAATAAAAGTGAAATTTTTGTTTGACTATAATAACATTAATACAACTACTAATGTTTATACTACTATTTTTTCATTTAATATATATGTGTGTGTGTGTGTGTGTGTGTGTAAATACCTTGATTCTTCATATTCATACTTGAAGCTATGTATATTTATTGGAATAAAAAGTGGGTGCATCCAGGGGTGGTCCAACAAATTCGAAGGCCCTAAGCGAGAATATGAAGGTAGACTCTATTAATATGCAATAATCTATACTGCTATAAAATGTCAACAAAATTGAAAAAAATTTGTTTGACTATAATAATCTTAATACAACTATTAATGATTATACTATCCTTTTTTCATTTAATATATATATATATATGTGTGTGTGTGTGTGTGTGTGTGTGTGTGTATTATTATATAAATCTTTAAATGTCTTGATTCTTCATAGTCATACTTGAATAACAGTTGTGTATATTTATTGGCATAAAAAGTGGGTGCACCGGTAGCAATGAAAAATAAAAAGTTTTCTTTTGGTACATTTATTCAAGTTTAATGCACTATGGACCAAATCTACTTGTTATATTTTTTAATTTTTTTTATATTTATTTAATTGAGTGACATCCTGTTTTCCCAAGTGCTCTCCTTGTCTCATGTTTTATTTCTTGCCTTTGCTAATAGTTTATGTTTATTTAATCATTGAAGATTGCTAATATTTTGTGTTATAGGACTATTTTATAAAAATAAAATTAGACTTAATAGAACATAAATCTGAGAGTTTTTTTGGTGTAAAAATATTTTTTAAGACTTATCTATATTACTATAAAATGTCAACAAAAGTAAAAAAATTTTGTTTGACTATAATAACTTTAATACAACTAGTAATGTCTATATTATCCTTTTTTCATTATTTATATATATGTGTGTGTGTGTGTGTGTGTATTATTATATAAATCTTAATATGCCTTGATTTTTCATATTCGTACTTGAATAACAGCTGTGTATATTTATTGGCATAAAAAGTGCGTGCACATAGGGGCGGCCCAACAAATCCAGAGGCCTAGGCGAGAATATGAAAGTGGGCCCTATTAATAGGTAATACTCTGTACTATTATAAAATGTCAACAAATGTGAAAAACTTATGTATCTTAATAAATATGAGGGTTTTTTTGGGTGTAGAAATATTTTTTAAGACTTATCTATACTATTATAAAATGTCAACAAAAGTGAAAAACTTTTGTTTGACTATAATAACTTTAATACAACTATTAATGTCTATACTACCCTTTTTTTTATTTAATTTATATATGTGTGTGTGTGTGAATTATTATATAAATCTTTAAATCCCTTGATTATTCATATTTATACTTGAATAAGAGCTATGCATATTTATTAGCGTAAAAAATGGGTGCACTAGTTAGTTTGAGCTACAGTTGTGTATATTTATTGGCATAAAAATTTGGTGCACCCAGTGGCGGCCTAACAAATCCGGAGGCCCTAGGCGAGAATATGAAGGTGGGCCCTATTAATAGACAATAATTTATATCTATACTACTTCTAAATGTCAACAAAAGTGAAAATTTTTTTTTTTGACTAAAATAACCTTCACAAAATAGTTATTGTCTATCGTATCTTTTTGGTGTTAATAGCATTATTAAATTATAGTAATAATTTATTGTCTATCACAGCGCACCCCTTCAGCTCTCTCCCTCTCTCTCTATCTCTTTCATTCTATAGTAAAAGCTGTCGACTGAGTTCTCCACCTTTAGGGTAACGTTTGCTGGTGCATAACCTCTCACAAATATGTCTCCTTGCTTCTCTCTTTTAATATTGTGCAACTTATCGTTTTGCTTCTACAGATTCCAGGAATTAATGATTGAAGAAGCAATGACTTTCTTTCTCTCTCAAAAACATGCACTGACTTGCGGAACGAGTGGTGTCCTGCCTGCACAGGTACTGGTTTTTTCTCTCTTTTTTTTGTTGGTTATAAGATACGTGTTATTTCATTTGTTTATGCTTGATGATTGAATATATA